AAAAAAAAAAAACTGAATTTTGCGCTAATTAGCATATTGTAATTCTTATTACTGTGTAATTTGATATTGACAGTTTGTTTTGTACATAATTTAACATATTTTTACACTATTGACTTGTTGCTGCTGCTACTGCTGCTGCTCATTTCTACTGAAATATGCTAGTACTGGTCGCGCAAAGCATTCGTATTTCCAAACGCATTTCTCTCTTTTCACTCTTCCTTCTTTCCTTTTTTGCCTCTTTTTATTCGAATTTGCTATATTCTTGAAGTATATTGATTCTATTGACAAACCGACCCTTATTCCTGCATCGCCTTCAGAAGCCTACGATTGCTATAGAAAGGTATATTAACAAGGGATGAAATAAGAAGGAACAAGAGAGAGGGTAGGAAATGAGGATTAGAAAATTTGTAGAATTGGTAAATTATAATGGTAAGAAAAAAAAAACCTACCACCACCTAATTGGATATCCGCATTTGTTAGATCTTAAAAAACCGATGAATGCCAAATGCACATTTGTAATTTTATGGAAAATAGGTATCGCCATGGATAAGGCAAAAATTCAGAGGGTGAGGCAAAAATTTTAAAGGCGTGAACCCAAGATCCCCAGTTTGAGAAAAAACATAAAACCCTAGATGCAGTGCTTGCATTACTTTTCGAATTTTCACAAAATGCTAAAGACTTACAAAATCAACGGGTTTGAGGAAGTTATGCTTGGCTATGATTGTGGACAGACCCAGATTCCCCAATAAAACTGATTAGCAGTGCCATGGGCAGAATGAGTAAAGTTATCTGTTCCTGAGGAATTGTACAATCCTGCTGATTCTATCATAATTCAAGATTCCTAAATTCAGTCAGATATCCATCCAGGCTGCGTTGGATGGATGAGGGTTGGGTTGGCTTGGCTTGGCGTAGAAATGTTTGTTCCCCCATTTCTTGAATGTTCAATGCTTTGGCTATGAATGGAGTTTAAGCTTTAGTACTGCATTTTTATATCATTTGTCCCCAGTGCTGATTCGCGGCAGTCGTCATGCCGGGGGACAAACTATTGCTTTGCAAAACTGACATAATTTCTAATGAATGTTCTTAGTGGAATAAAATGATTACATGTACCAAATACAGTCATCCAGACACGAAAATCCACCGTACATTCTCAAGACGCATTTGCTGCTCTTTTTTGGGCAGAGACAATTCAAAACACGACAGAAGCGGACCTGGAAATTAACGTATCGGAAACGAAGATGATGCAAAAGTGCCAGTATGCCCGTCCCAAGATTACGGCTAGGCGGTGTTAGGTCCTCACGTGGTCTTTGACTGCAGCACCAGAAGACAGCGAAGAGTGCCAATCAACCAGAAAATTTCAAGCTACTGGATGAAGCGGTGACGTGTACTGACTCATAAAATTGGAACTCGCTGAGAATTCTTTAAAACTCACGAAAAATAACAAAGAGACCAGTTGACTGGCATAAATTCCACGGTCAATACCCTCAAAGTGTCGGATCGATTGTCGGACTAGTCCAATAATTCAGTACCACTCTGCTGGAGGCAGTGACGTACGGATGCGAAACACGGCTACTAGCGAAAGCGAAAGGGCAAATGCAAAGGTTTTGACGGAAATGTTTGAAGTATATCTTCGTGACTACACAATGAGCCTGTCGGATTAACACGATGTCGGCTGCAGTCATGGAAGACAGTAAAATACGTCACGTGAGGCACGTTGCTTGCCTTGCTGGCAACCAGTAGTTTGACTCAATCAATAGAACGACCAATCTCTCTGCGATTTATTTATTTATTTCGATAATAAACAGGTGTTGGCATATAACAGTCAGTCAAGAATCACCTTCTCCTCGCTTTTGAAGAAAGCAGGCGGCGGTGAATGTTAGTGGCAATGTGCTATCAATCGGAAAATTTACTATCAAAAAAAATTTTAAAATGTCTCCGTTTCTAATGAAAATAAAAAATTTTATGACAATTTTATGATTTTAATCGTGATTTATAATTGCGATAATTTTATGATTTTGCGATAATTATGATTTATAGTACAATAAAAATTAAAAAATCAACTTTATGGTTCTGATTTTGAACCAACCAGTAAAACGATATAAAACAAAGTACCGTAGATCAACTTCACAGCAACAGAAGCCTGCTGG